TGCACAGTCCAGTGCGATTACCACATTGTACCATGCAAAATCGCACCTACCACAAATTCTGGTGAGGGAGTTGTGCTGCATTGCCATTCATTTGAATGGCACCCCAAAGGCACCTCCTGCCCATAGTTTGAACGCCCGCACCAGAATGCGCGGTACCGCAATGCCAATTCCAATGCGGTGCGACTTGGGTCATGACTTACTGACCAAGGACAAATGTGGGTCCTGAGGTTACACAGGTTGAGAACTACTGCTCTACAGCACCATCTCTTGGCTGAATTTGAGATGGCTGGTAGGTAAGTCAATAAATCTCGGCCTCTGGGCCAGAACACAGACCCTGGCCTCAACCCAACTGAACACCTTTGGGATGAATTGGAATGCTGATTGTGAGACAGGTCTCCTCATCCAACATCGGTACCTGACCTCACAAATGGGAACAAATTCTGACAGACACACTCCAAAATCTTGTGGAAAGCCTTCCCGTAAGAGTGGATGCTGTTATAGTCTCAAAGCGGGGACCAACTGCATTTTAATGGCCATAGGTTTGTAATAAAATGTCCAACAAGCTCATATAGGTGTGATGGTCAGGTGTCCACAGACCTTTGGCCATGTATAGTGCATTTCTGATAATTACCCTAAACATGTTGCGCCAACCTTCCATTCTCTTGATCGAGATTTGGCACCCAGACCTATAGGTGCCAGGTGTCCCTGAGCTATATTTTAGCCTCCTTGACTCTACAATATACACTATATTACCAAAAGTATAGGGACGCCCCTCCAAATCATTGGCTTCAGGTGTTCCGTGAGATTTCCTTTCTACTAAATATTCCGCGGTCACCTGCTAGTGGTATTATAACAGAGTGGAAACAACTGGGAACAACGGCAACTCAGACACGTAAAATGACAGAGCGGGGTCAGCTCATGAGTATATGGTGAAATTATGTATATAGATATACGGGGTGAGGAGAAGAGAAGGCCCATACAAAGTGTTTGCCACCAAACATCACTGAGTCATGCAACATTCAACAACTAAATCTGAAGATTCAGCTGCTTACGTTTTCATCCGGAATGACGACGGAGGTCTATCCAGAATCAGTTCGTAGAGGATCGCTCTCTGTGTGGCTTTGAACCAGGGTGTCCCCCCATTGAGGATAACCAGCGTATAGACTGATAACTCCTTGATGTCCCTCTGCTCCCTTTGGGAGTTTGTATGGAGGTTGCCTCCTCCTTTTCCCCTCCAGTTTTTGGATCTTAGTGATGCGGTTTGACTGCGGCTTACATTGAGCCTATCCTTGGTCTCCCCGAAAAAGCCCCCACAGGGGTGAACTGTCTTTTTTTTATCTGGACCCTCACCTGAAGCTCACTATTGGCCGTGTTCATGGACACATAGCAACTTGAGATTTTCATTAAAGGTTCCTGAGGAAGCAGCTCTATGCAAAACGCGTCAAACCTCACGAATACTTACTGTCTGTCCAAACCTGTGATATCTGGCTGAAGATATGTATATGGTTGTTCCGTATTTGCTATGTATTTGTTTACTATGGCCATAATCCTCTTAAATTATGTTTGAGCTTTGTTATGAATAAAATAAGTTTTTAGCAATTTGGTAATTATACTTTTTTTTGACACCTGAAAAGCCCCAGGCTCTTTTATAGCCAATTTTTCTTTTGTCTCTACGCCTCACACTCCCTTCTCTCTCTCTTGTAGTAGAATATTCTTTGATTTGTTATCTTAAAGGAGAACTATGGGGTCAGTGTTTTTCCCCATACTTCTCCTTAGGGTAACGGGAGGACACAAAATAGCATCCTCCCGTCACCCTAAGCTCAGTATACCGCGAGCTACAGCTCACGGTATACTAAGACGCCGCAGCCGGAGCGGATCCCGACCTGGAGTGACAGCTGGCTCTGCCTATCTAGAGGCTGAGCCAGCTGTACCCGCCCGTTCGTTCCGCCAGTCAGCGCTGGCAGATCGGAGCGGGGAGAGGGGAATCCAGCCTCTCCCCCTGTCACGGCAGAGAGCCGTGACAGGATCGAGAGGTGAGCGAACGCCGGTGTGTTCGCTCACCTCCCGATCTACTGAGCTGACCTGTGACAGTCTCATTGTCAGAGGTCGGCTAGAACTATGAGGTGAGTGGAAATCACTCATCTCATAGTTCTCCTTTAAAGGACCTTTAGCCCCAATATGGGAAATCTGCCATCTTAGATATTTGGGGACTTCAATCAGATGACAGAGCCCATCGGTTGTTTACATTCCTCCTAATTATAGCTCTGTGTATTATGATACTATTATGCAGACTCAGGAGCTGAGAGATTGTAGTATTGAAGTAGATGCAAACCCTCATTATAAGCTTTGACATGATTTCAAAGTCATTTTCAATATTTTGAAATCTGCAGCTTTAACCAAATTGTTACTTGGTGATCCTGCCATGGAGAGTCTTGTTTGGGCATTTCCTGTTATGCAGTGACAACCATCTGTCCCTGTGTCCCAAATGTGCTCCTGCATTGTCACCCCATTGCAGAGACTTCTGATGGAGACAACAAAATGTAAATGCAATGAGTATAGATTGCGTATTACACAGGCATAGCTCACTGTTGCCACCATCTGGAGACGCAGCCGCTTTTGTGCGATTTATCCCCCGTTTTCCACGCTTCGCCTATTAATTTCAATGGGTGATGCATGCTTGAAAGTAGCGGAAAAGAAGCTCATGTAGCAGATTTTGCTACAGCTGTACCACGGTTTTTACATGTGTTCATACGTGTTTTAACGCACGTCCACACACGGGAAAAACTCACATTTTCCTAGTCACGTTTGAGGTGTCATTAACAAGTAATGGTACCACAAGCACGTTACAGGTTTTTTCTTTTTATTGTTCCATGAAATGCACGTCAAAGCACGCTTGATGCGCATTTGGTGCGCGTTCACGGATCGCAAAGGTGTGAACGGGGACTTAGAACTGCCACTTGGTCAAAGAGGCTGCAGGAGATCAGCAACACTAAGCTGTACCAAAGGATGAAAAAACTCCAGTAGCGAAGTAGCATAAAAGCTTGGTTTTAATCAGTTCCGCTCTCACACCTGTGCAACCGCTATGGCAGGGGCGGGCGCAGGGCCGGCCTTAGGTCTTTAGGCGCCCTGTGCGAGAAAGGCGACTCTGGCCCTCCAGTTGTTGTGGAACTACAAGTTAGGGTTGCCACCCGTACAGTCCGGGTTTTGAATGCTGTGTCCGGGTTTCATGGCAGCAGAAACCCGGACACATGATGTCCGGCAGACAGGGGCAACCAAAATTAAGCCTGGCCCCCTACTGAAAATAGTCTCAAGTGTGATATTTACATATTAATGTGTGGCGCTATTTCCATATGATCATGCCACGAGTCATTCTCCCTACAAAAATGTCCACACGTCGCTAGTGTGTTCGGGTTTCAGTTGAAGAAAAAGTGGCAACCCTACTACAAGTCACATGAGGCATTGCAAGACTGGCAGTTACAGGCATGACTCCCAGAGGCAGAGGCATTGTGGGGATTGTAGTTAAAGCACAGCTGGAGATGCCCTCCCCCTAACCTAAGGTATTTTTACGTTTGTAGTACGGGCCTGCTTATTTGGCACAGACGTTGCCAAATTCTTTTTTTTAGGACAAACAAGGAATTATTTTAATTATTTTGCTGATAGTTTTGAAAAAATTATTTTATTTCTTCTTTTGTTTGCATGTTAACTTGTGTCTTAATGCTATATA